TGTGGAACGGGCCGTGCCACGGCCCAGGGGGTGGATGACATCACCACCCATCTGCAGAAGGTCCACCTACCCACCATCCTGCAGCGCCGGGACGCGCAGGTGGACCATCTTCTTAAAAAATAAGCTACGGAGAAACGGGTTGATAGCCGATGGTCGACGTTGTTGATAACTGTACTGTAACAACTCACGGCAACTGAAGCTATATTTATTTGTGTGCGATGTCATAGCTAATAAAAGTTATTAGGGCAAGTCAGTACAACTTATTTGTGAACACCCCGCACATATTGGCAGTGAACGGGCCCTCAATATTTTGTGGTTGTCGATCTCCGTCCAAGGAGAAGACATTGGACAGCAATCTGAGGTCACACGGATTCAAGTCGGCCCCGCACTTTACGACAGTGAGCACCGTCTATTCGGACCATTTACGTCACCAGCGTGTGTCGGTCTGACCGCCTGATCCTCCATTTCGTCAGAGACCACATGCTTTGTGCACATGATGTTCGGTTAACCATTGCAACCAGAGCGTCGCTGCCTTCCACTTCTCGAGGATCTGAGAATCTTACCTGCTCTAAGCATTGGCCTGGGCCAATTATCTGGCAATGCGGCCTTGCATCACATTTGTATTGGACAATAGAGCATGTAAACGACCGCCTTGACAATCGCGCTTTGTCACGATAGTCTTGACAAGTACATGTAAACACCAGGACCTGCCCCCATTTCACCTGCAGCCATTTGTCGCACGGTAAGGCCTAAGAAACGAACCACAGCACAGCCATAGCACCTTGATGATGATCATGACGCTTATACGATGACTCCTTTGGCCTATGAGAACGATAATGCTGATGACTAACGACTCGCGCTTTGAGTTTCGTTATCCAGACGATGGCAACCGTAAGCGGGCAGCATTCCCAATGGTGAATAAGCCACCATGGCGATATGCCCAGCCAATCACAGCCCGCTGCTGCTTAACAAATCAAACCTCCACCCGCGCGCTGCCAAACTCTATACCGCCGCCCCCGTTGCCTAGCAACCGACGCCGGCTGACGCCCTCTAGCGTTTGTCTCCGAGCACCTGGCGGATAGCCGACGCCTCCTCACGACTCAGCGCCTTCAGGCCGAACCCAGTGACCTCCGGTCGGCCCTCAAGGTCGTTCAGGCGGTTGACCTTGCTTCGCAGGCCGTCTCGCAGCGCTGTGATCTCCTTGTCCAGCTCCAGCTGGTCTGTGGATGACAGTCAAGTGACGCTACTTAGCGGAACTGCCACTGACAGCGGCCTCGGCATTGCTTTCGGTGCTAGTTTGATGATGTCGGAATGGTTCTGGTCGCGTCGGCTGCAGTGATCATCTAACGCCCACCGTGTCACGTCGGCTGCAGCGGTCATCTAACGTCCATCGTGTCACGTCGGCTGCAGCGATCATCTAACGCCCATCGTGTCGCGTCGGCTGCAGCGATCATCTAACGCCCACCGTGTCACGTCGGCTGCAGCGGTCAGCTAACGTACACCGTGTCACGCCGGCTGCAGCGATGGCCACCAGGTCACGTCCTTCCTTATATCCAGCGCGTGCGTGCATGGCGCGCTAGGCGTGCTGAGGTACCACGCCTGAGTAAGGTATATCACAGCTCCCGTCATGTAGTGTAGCCTAACATTAAACTCTTGAGTAGATTGTTTAAAGCCTATGTACTCCGTGAAATTAAAAAAAAAAAAACACTTGTTAGCACAGACCAGGCTCCAGCCGTTGCAGGAGTTTGAGCAACCAATTATCAAGACAATTGCTTGATTATTTATCGAAGCATGCAACCTCTACGTGCCAGAAATAAACCGGCGTCCTCAGCTAGCTATAACTGAACCCTTATTTCGGACTTATGCAGTCATAACGCCCTTTTAGAGGTGCAGCTTTTTACATAAACAACTTACGACACACAGACACCCCCATCCCGTGGCCAACCAGCCACGTTTGTTACGCCGATAGTCATCACGTATGCACATGTTCGATTGGTTTCAGCCCAGTGCTGTCTTTAAGCCATGTTGATCATTCACGCAAATCCAAACTGAAAACTGCTAGGTCCAGAGTGCCGTTTTACCAGATAAGTTGGGCGAGAGAGTTGGGCAGAGAAGATGCCTTTCTCTAGCCCGAAAATCTGCAAACGCGCGTTTTTCTCCGTACGTGGACCACATTTTTCCCAATGTTAAGGGGATACTTGAGCCCTCCCCCCAGCTGGATAGGAAACTACACCTCTGTGCTTTGCCCTAGCGATGCCACAAAGCCGGCCGACATCGTCCAACAACAGAACGCGCCACGCACCATCCTCCATGAGACTCTTCACTTTGGAGGCGGGCAGCTTGATGAAGGTGTTGCCCGCGGCGATCCACGTGCGATACTCGCCGCGCGCCTTGAGGTCTGAGCTGAGGGCACGTGTCGCCTCTCGCAGGCCGCTCTGCTTCCGTGAGAGGTCCACAACCTGCGGAGGACAAATCGTGGCGTATTTACAACAAGCGGCAGGTGGTCTCACACGATGCAAAGTCGTGACCTCTCGCCGACATATACCGATGGGAGATCCTCTGAGGACGTGAGAAAGCGGCGAATGCGATTTTTGCCTCATATTGCTCCTAACAAATTCACGTGATTGACGCCCGAGTTTTTCCGCGGGGGCAGAGGGCCGTACAATATGCCCTCCCTTTCCAAACACCTGAGATACCTGACCCACACACATCGGAGGGCTGTATCCTATGCCCACCTTTCCAAACATCTGAGATCCCTGACACATAAACATTGGAGGACTGTATCATCTTTCCAAACATCTGAGATCCCTGACTCACACACATCAGAGGGCTGTATCCCCTTTCCAAACATCTGAGATCCCTGACCCACAAACATCTGACGGTGTTGGTACATCAGCTGGAGGCAAGCAGATGTTAGTCACAGTGTGCAGCATAATCTGACAAAACAATGACAGAACTTGAAGAATGTACAGATGCTGTCACGCCTAGAAGAATGTACAGTACAGGCCCATTTGTCAGCATTGCCCTTCAGCAAGGTGGGCCCATCTGCTCACAGCCAGTATGTGTGGAAGTATGTGGCAGCATACCTACTGAATACTAGCCAGTACATGAGGAGTGGCATATACATGAGCATGATACCTGAATGTGGTGATGACTTGCTGGTCATCACAAGACATTACATGAAGACAGCGTTCTATGATCCCTATACTCTGACCTGCTGCTTATCTGTGAGCACATCTTCAGCTGCTGCTTCCACTTCCTCAAGCTGATGCACCACCTTATGCATATCTGGATCCATGTCTTGCTGGTTTAAACACCTGAAGATAAGGAAATATAAGCTACAGCCCTGGCCTTATGCCATGCCCCACAAACAGTCTGGAGGGTCCTTATGACCTCGGACTGATGGAGGTGGTAGGAAGGAGAAAGGGGTTTGGACTCCAGACCTTGAACTAATAGGTAACCAGGAGAGGGAGGGACAAATTGAGCAGCAGTCTGGTCCCATGTTTCATCTTGCAAGGTAAGGTCCTGTCCTGCACCCTGCCATCCCTGCTTTCAATAAACCATAGTGACTGAGAACATTCTAATACCTTGCTGTTACAACAGATTTCAAACCTTCCACTATGTTCTTCTCATCCCAGCATCTTCCCAATCATGGTGCTCAGTGATAATGACTGCCCCTCTTACCAAATGCATGTGTGGACTTCACACCAGGTACTCAACAGAAAGTTAAATCCTAGGGCATGTAGATGAATGCAGAGTTTCTAGAGCTAAGCTATGTTTAAGTGGCTGGGGAACACATTCACTCCTTTTTGGGTTAGAAGTGTAATTTGCCTGTTTGCCTGTACAGGCATTATGTGCATAATCAGAATCTGAGAGGACTGCTGCCCTAGACAACAAAATGTCTTGCTTAGGTAAATATGTCCCTCAATACATCACTGCTTTCTTGCATTAAAGTGCCATGCAATGCATTAACTGAGAACCAATTGAAAGCCTTGGAAATCTTGATTACAAACACCAAAATATGAACAACTTAACAATTACAACTTGGGATTCATATCATTTCAGTTATTATTCAACAATTTATAATCCAACCAGTATAATTTCATTATTTCATTAAATTATAATTAAAAACTTATAATTTGGTTCTGAGCCACATGGTCCAGGGAATGGTGAGGCTCGAATAACATCATGATGAATCTTGGATGCCTGGACAACTTTGAAATAGTCTGCTCAAAACTCCCTGCACATCTTAGAAAATATGCAACCCAAAACCTAAACATATCAGTTTGGGAGCACTTCACATGTGGAACACTCCCTTTAATAACATGTGTTTTATAACATTAGAGAAACAACAATCCCAATTTGTGTTTGAGTCAAACCAACAGAATTAACCAGTCTCCTCTCCCCCTGTATCCTTAACTAGGTCACTGTACCTTATGCCACATTTAAGTGTTTTATGAAATGAGACACTTACTCGATGAGATCCACATGAATACTGAGAATACACCATTGCGTACATCCTATCGGACCTGGAACTGTGCAGTTGGATATAGATCAGACATAAATTACGGGAACAACTCGAATTTGTCTTACTTACCTTTTTAGGTAAAACAAATCCCCAAAATAGCCCGAAAATATCCCCTGCTAGATACCCCGAAAAATTGTTCGATTGCCAAGGCCGGACCCCTCCCCCACACCCATATCGTTTAAAATGTGAATTAGGGTATATGGCAAGACGTATTGACGGATCGCGTACTATTTGTCACAACCCTGTCTCATATGTTGACAAAATAGGGATGAAAAGTGATGTGAAGCGTATGCACCCAGACGACATGCCCTGTTGTTGCAAGTAATTCCTGGTAGACCCAAGTCTAGGAACAAACTAATTCAAATATTTTAACGCTGTGTGACCTAGTAGATGACTTATTGGAAGGGAAGAAAACTATTGCACTGTTTCATCGTCATGAGTTTTTTCCCGCACTCTCTGGCTCAATCTTGGGCGAATGAGCAACGCGGAAAGCTGTTCCGCATGAGACACGGCTGCGGTAGGTGGTGGCAGGCCGGTGGTGAAGCGGTGGCGGATGATCCGCTGAGTGCTTTCCTTACAAGCTTGGTGGTTTACTATATTGTTACTCGGCGCTAGGTCCACTAAGGGACCTCCTTCGCGCCGGCTACCACCAGGTGACCGGCCGCCGGCCCACTTGGCAATGCGGCGGCGAAGTGCACCCGAGCAGGCACGGAAGCGGCTGGCGGCCGGCTGTCGATGATTGTGAAGTCCAACAGCGAACCTCCCAGGGAATGAACTCCCCCCCCCCCTCAATCTGGTGAAAACGTGGTACGTGAGATTTGTGGTAAAAAGGAAAGCTGTAACGACGGTCTAATCGCTTTCGGGACTATTCTCACGCACAAGGAGACGCCATTTCGGCTGGATTGCGCCAAGTCGAGCAAGGGACCTCCCTTCAGGTCAGGCCTCACGCCAGCCAAAACGGTGCAAGCATGGCACGTGTGCACACATGTTATATACATGTAGACATGTGTCGACCATGCTATCAGCATTAAGGATTGAAGATGCCATTGTGCAAGCGGTCTTGGCGGCTGGCGGCCGGCTGATTGAAACTTCTAAAGACCAGCAACGGACCTCCCGGCAAATCAGGTGCAAGAACACCGAAACTTTTCAAACGTAGCACGTGTGCATGTTTGGCTAAAAAGCAAAGCTATAACGACCGTCTCGTCGGTTTCGGGTCCATAGCTTTTTTATGCGAGAGCAACACATTTAATGACGTGTAATTCTGTTTGTTGCTGTACGATCCAGTCGGACGAAGCGATCTTGGTACTAGTTGTCTTAGTCACACTTCCACGACGCCGAAGCACACCCCACGTCTGTGACAGCGTTGCAAGATAAAGAGAATAACGGTCTAAGCACTCAGGCGCTTCTAGCTTCTACTCCATGCCTGGATCGACGGCCCGTCATCTGTACTGGGGCCAGCCGAGCAGGGAACCAATCTCCTGCAGTTTGACTTGAGGATGCACTTCATGGAGCATGCCTCAAAGCCCGGGCGGGCACGGAATCGGATACGCTGGCGTGCTGGTCCGCACGCCGCTTCATGCGGCCATCGAAATACGTGCCAAGCTGACATCGAATGATATATTGTACGGTTAGCCTCCTGGTACACGCATGATGGACAGGGCACAGCGAGCGCCGAGCGAATGTCGTCGGCCGATAGCAGGCGGTGGCGGATCTCAGACGCGATCACGAGTAACGACGAACACATCACCAGCAATAAAAGCCCAGTTCGCGACGTCTAGACTGCGTCTGGGAGCGGGTCGCGGGTGAGCTTGATTGTGACGTGCGTGGTGGGGACTGAGGCACAGGTCAGCAACACATTTCGGGGTGCTCAAGCGCGCGAATTTCGCCTTATTCCCCCAGTGCCCTGTCGTCGTTAGGTGTATGTCATGACGGTTTGAAAGGAGGCGCCTTTTGCACGGCTGGCTGCCTCCTTTTCTTAGTCATATAGCAATCAGTTTTCACTGCATAGAAGACACATATTTGTGTGATCCCTCGTGCGGATATTTTGTGATCCAACTGATTAGGCCTCAAAACCCTGGCAGCAGCAGTTTTCCTGTAGGCATCAAATTTGCGAAAGTGTGTCCGATAGGACATCCTTCTGTGCCCATATGTCTTCTCCACTTTATTGGTGACATGAATTTATGCACATTCTGACTGAGCTGGAGCGTCGCGGGAAAGCCCGATTCTCCCACTGTGGATAATTTGGCGTATCGCTTTTCCATGCTGATTGCATTTTACACCGGCTGATCCGGCGCCGGGATTCAGGGACTTCACGCGCTTCAGACCAGCAATCAGGAGTGCGCGGGATTCAAGGACTTCACGCGCTTCAGACCAGCAATCAGCAGGGCGCCGGGATTCAGGGACTTCACGCGCTTCAGGCCAGCAATCAGGAGGGCGCGGGATTCAGGGACTTCACGCGCTTCAGACCAGCAATCAGGAGTGCGCGGGATTCAGGGACTTCACGCGCTTCAGACCAGCAATCAGAATGGTGCGGGATTCGATCTCCCGTGAGCGAGGAATTCTATAGATTTCATGTCCCGATGCCTTCCGACACCACCGTGTCTGGCAGCACCGCCGAATCTGGCAGCACCGCCGAATCCGACAGACTTTTGGCGCGCACGGCCACGTCTCCACGAACGCGACCCGACTCTGCCGGGCTGCCCTCCACTCTCTCCCACGGGTCCGGCCCCCGCTCCCCGAGGGCGCTCGCTCCGGAGACCGCCCCCGCCTCGGGGAACGGCCGCACAGGAAGCGGCGGGCAGCCGTCGCCAGGGTCCGGTCTTCAGGGACAGCCTCTGGAGCCCGGTCTTCCGTCCGAGGCATTCGCGGCGCGGGGACCACGCTCTCACTGCCCGCGCTGCCCGCGCTGCCCGCGCCGGCTCCGGGTCTGGCTCCCGGCACTCCGGAGCTGTCCACATTGACCCGAGAACTACTTGCATTTGGAATTCCCGGTGTCCGGATCTACGCCAGGGCTTCAGATCTATGCCAGAGGTATAAAACACCGATCCACTCAAAGGGTACAAATCCACTTCAGGGCGTTCTAATCCACTACAGAGTTTTCAGATCCACTCCATGCATGCCCAGAATCCCGATCCACTCCGGGACATCCAGATCCCTCCAGAGCGGATCGAATCACTCCAGCGCTGTTCAGATCCACCCTGGGAACATCCACTGGGGGATGCAGCCTCCAGATCACAAGCACTCGGGGCGTCCGGCTCCTCTCCAGGGGTGTCCGACTCAGCCGTGCGGCGCGGCCGGGTTGGACACCCCTGGAGGCTGACGTCACGTCATCAGGTCCCGCATGCTGATGTCGGCCAGGCTGAACTTGTTGAGCTCGGTTTGGATCAGACCGTGCACCTTCTCCTGCAACAGACGGGCGGCGTCGGTAGATGCATCACGGCGTTAGAGTCTTGATCAGGAAGCTCCAACTCCCTTTCCACGAGACTGGCTGACATATATCTCCACTAGCATTGGTGATAAGGATGGCTTTGGCAGTAAATGACATCGTTAAATTGTGTAGCGTTGTATTCTATTTTGAAGGCGGCGCCCATTTGAGACTGACACCCGTTCATGCTAATGGCATGCTGCGTTTGTGACCTCGAGCTGCCATCTATCGTCACGACCGCCAACTTCTGACTGAGGGGCGGACGCAGCGCATCTAAGAGATGATGCAGCTACAAGCGTTAGATTCACACGCGCAGTATGCCGCCACGTCACGAGAGCTGATCGGTATCATTGGTAGATGCTGGACGAGTAATCCCACTTTCCAGTCTGTGTCCGTGCCCGTGCCTGACCTGCAGCAAGTCCTGGATGCGGATGCTGAAGATGTTGAGCAGTGTTCGCTGCAGGCGGTTGACCAGCCAGCTGACCGGCCCCAGACCGGACATGTTAGCCCGCAGGCCGCGAAGCTGCCGGATCACGAACTCTGCGGAGGCCACGCCCTGTGTCAGAGGTCACTGAAAGGCCACCAGGTGCGGCGGGTAAACCCCAGAGGCCGGAGGGTGAGCCACGGACGGCTCAGAAGCCGGGGAGTGCGCCAGGAGTGGAGACGAGATCAAAATGTGTGCCAAGGATACATCAAGGGTCATGCGGTGCGTTTGGTTATCTCCGAGGCCGGCAGACGTCAGGGACGTTCCATAGACATAAAAACGGGTTAGGGACTGCTTTCAGTGTGATAATCCATACGCAGGATCACTCTCCAAGATGACAAAAAGTTGACATTTGACTCATAAGGGTAAAAGACATCGGGATGACAGAGATTCAGCGACACGGGAGGCCTGCCCAGGTTCAGACAGCAGCCACGAGGTCTATATGAGGCTTTTCTTGTATATATTAGCTTATCAAGATTTACACAAAGACCCACTCTTAGTGGCACTCAGAAAGATTGCGACGCTATCTCTTGGAGGTCAAACCCGTGACTTGGCTCAGAAACAAGGACATCGGACACAACGCGATGAAATGAAGGCTGGGAATCTGAGCACCAGGGAGCAACATCCCATTCAACGGCAACATCACGCAGAGATTATGAACATTCGAACACCAGCCATCGCGACTGAAAGCGCGAGAAGGTTTTAAAAGATATCGAGCTATGTGCGGAAGCTTGAAGTGAGAAGAGTAAGAGACCTGCGACTCACTGCATTTGTGAATGATTGTAAACTTGTGTTTCGTTATTCGTATGCATGGATAACGACATATTGATCAGCTGAAATGTGAGGGTGGATGGGCCAGGTTTTTGATCATTTTCATGCTCCTGAATCTCAAAGCTCAGCTCTATATTTTTTTTTCGCACGTGACTTGATCGTATTTTGGGGCTGCAGTGATTGATAAGTAATGTTCAGAGTGGTTCATAGTAGGACCAGACCTTGCAGGACCGGCGACTTGTTGAGGTCTGATGTTTGGTGGACGCGGATGAACGTCTCGATCTCCCCGGCGCAGACACTGATTTTCCCCTGGTTCTTCGCAAAAAGCACCTGAAATGACTCACGATTGTCAGTTCATTACCACTTTTGACACAGACGCCCATACGAACAGTTTGTGTGATACATATGGGTTGTACAGACCTGCATACAGTAATGAACTGCAGATAAAATCAACAGTCCCATGTGGAAGTGTAGTCGGTAACATGCGCCAATAGTTCACGGGGTGCTAACACGATGTCTTAGGCTTGCTGTATATCTGGTACGATGCTCACAAGGAGGAGGCGCAATGATGACAGGCGTCACGCGGGATCACATTTGTGACGGCCTTCGGCCACAAGCACGTCGGTCACGTGTTCAGCAGGTGTAGATAGGGTATGCGCAGGACCACAGGTTGTTTCAGGCGCCAAGCCGCCTGTGATGTGATGTACGGAGACGTGTTATGTATGTATAGCACAGTGCATGTGGTGCGGTCCAGGACGGGGTCAGCGGCCGTCGCGGAGCCGGCGCCAGCCCGTCCCCACTGAAACCTGACGCCGGGGGGGGGGGGGGGGGGGGGCGACGGGCGGGGGAACGCCCGGCGCGGCGGCGCCATGCCACGCCCGGCGGCAGTGGCGAGAGAGAGCTGAGGCGGGGGGGGGGGGGGGGGGGGGGAGGGGGCTCTGCGAACTGTCGAGCGGTGGGGACATTTCGTTCTTGTGTTGGCGAGCTGAGACGGGAAAGACAGTGGGTGGAGAGACAGCGATTGTGTGAAGAGACGTGATTGTGTGTGCAAAGACAGTGGATACGAACATTTGAACATCGAACGGTGTTTACTACGGTAAAGAGAGACAAGAGCTGAGACTGGCTAGTGAACATTTCTAGCCTCTATACTTCACTGTCTGCTTGTGTGTTTTTTTAGTTGACAATCACGCAAATCACGCACGCAAATTACTTAATGTCCGTGAAATTACTCCGTTCGCGGGAGGGTTTACTAAAACGACCGGGCATAAGTAACTTCACGTAAAAAGCTTAGGCGACGATGGCCAGCTAGCGCCCCATAAGGAGATATAGGCGGCCCTGCTTAGAGGGCATAGGGAGCGCTGAATGCTGAAGGAGTGTCCGATTGTCATCATCAGCCATAATAACGAACCTGAAAACACACTCATAACGTTCTTTAGAAACCCTCTGTGCGGTCGGTAACAGCGTTATCACTGATGCCAGTGAACGAACTAGCGTTGTTTTGCTTTAGCGTAAAACAGCTCACGGCTGCTTGTGAGAGGGCTGAGTGAGTGATAGAAAAGCTGTGATGTCAGGTCGCTGTGCGATGAATGACAGCGTCATGCATTAATAAGGAATCAAGTTGGCTCTGGTGTAGATTTCAGTTAATCTACCGAACCACTTACGATTAAAATGCATGAAACCAATGCGTATCAAACACGCACATTGCATGCGCCTTCTTCTCCCATAAGAACGAGACGTAAAAGTTTCAACACTCGAGTGTCCCTCAATCACATGGGTGGAAATAAGCCACATATGTGCCTCGTCATCCCGCGGAATGACGAGCTGTGCACCACCCAGTTGGCGGAGTGGCCATCCACGGCTGTTCACCTAGTCGGGAACAAGATTTCAGCCAGCCCACCCATCGGACATTTCGCGATCCCCCGCTACAGCAAGCCCAAGCGGTTGCGATGATAGTGGATTGCAATGCCAAACGATTACGACGCTGGGCGATTGCGATGCTAAGGCAAGTGCACGCGCCATGAAAAAGTCTACTGTTCGCAGAACTGGATCAAACACTGCCGCTGCCTCCGGTTCGCTGACCTTTGCTGTGTAGTCGTAACACAGCCGCACTTGCTCGAGGACGAGCTTGGCTTCGATGGTGGCGCCATCGGCGTCGCTGTGCATTCGAGCTTCTCCCTTGCGCCGCAGGGTGTCCAGGCCAGAGATCTGGCCCTCAGTCAGCTGCACGCTCCCGACCACGTGATCCGGTATGGAGAGAAACTCCTCGCCGCTGGAAAAGGCACATATTTTGTGTTCTACTACCTCGCTGGTTTGAGCAGAAAAAGGACGGTGTCCGAGCGGTTGGGGTGAATAGGCGTCAGCTGGGGTCATTATATCTGCAAGGGGTTATATGATATATTTCCCTGAACAGGTGGCGCCTTTTGTTGCCGCCATTAAGGTTTGACGATTTAGGGAGGGAGAGGGATTTGATAAAAATGGTAAAACAGGGGGCTGCAGAAAACCTTGGGTCGGGTTGGGACCAAGGGGACTCCGGATACACGAAACCGCACCGAAACCGGATACCGCACAGCAAGCGGAATGGGTCGGAGCGCTCCGGCGGCTCTGGTGGAGAAGTGGCCGCGGGTCATCGGGTGACTGAAAGGAGAGGGGGGGGGGGGGTCTCCTGAACCTTCGAGACCGGCTACGGTCATCCTAACTCACTGCACGTGAAGGAAAAGTCATGACGGCTTGAAACCTTGACGTCATATATTTTGGTTTCTTTACGCCAGAGCTTGTTCTGCCATGACCAACCATTTCGAAGCCATGAGGGCAGGAGGAAAGGTGACTGGCGGAAGACCAGGCAGGAGGAAAGGTGACTGGCGGAAGAATGCTGCGGCCATCATGTCTGACGTCACTAACGAGACTGTCGCGCGCGGAAGTCAACTTCGAGCCGCATGTGGACGCTCGGGGGGCGTCCCCGCCCCAGGCGGACGTGAAACCGACCCATGAGACCCGTGACCTGTGGGACCGACCCATGAAGCCCATGATCCATGAGACCTGTGACCCGTGAAACTGATCCATGACACCCGTGATCCGTGGGACCGTGACCGGTGAGACCGACCCATGACACCCGTGTCCCGTGAGACCGACCCACGACACCCGTCACCCGTGAGACCGACCTATGAGACCCGTGTCCCGTGAGACGACCCATGACACCCGTCACCCATGATACCGACCTATGAGACCCGTGTCCCGTGAACCCGACCAATGAAACCCGTGAACCGTGAGACCGTGACCCGTGAGACCGACCTTTGGCTGAGGGACGCAGCAGGCCCCGGCACCATGGGGTCTTACGCCGAACCTCAATGTGGTTGTGATTGAGGTAAACAGGATGGGTGAAGTTAACACATACTTTTAATATCTTAGGCGCAGTCCTAGTTGGCACTCTTTCTGGGCTGTCATGCCATCAATGCTAGCAAAATATAAAAATGTTATAGCAAACTCACGAGATTCATTAAAATCTAAGCAGAGTGATGAGACGAACGGGGGCCTCGTTCCCAGTGATCACAAAGGTTGTTTCGGAACGTACGACATCGCAGTTCGAAAGATGTACCTCGCTGGTGACGCAATCATGCAACTCCATCGTGACAGCTTTGCTCGGAAATGTTACCGCATTTCGCCCAGCATACGTCCTGCAAAGTTGAATTGCTACACCAACTCCGCCAAATTGCAGGGAATCTACTTACTCATTTTTGAGTATGCAGGTGACGTTCTGAAGGATGGTATCGATGTAGAGATTGGGTCCGGCCAGGTCCCCAGTAGCACTCAGGACCGTAAACATTCATCACACTCCCGCAGGGGCCGCCTGTAACATGATGCATCACCTCAGAACGCTGCACACTCAGAACACCGCACACTCAGAACACCGCACACTCAGAACACCGCACACAGAACACCGCACGCTCAGAACACCGCACACAGAACACCGCACACCTCAGACAGACGTGCTGAGACAGATCGGACCAACCCAACGTCAGCCGGCGCAATCATGAACGAACCTCCCGGCAGGGAACCCCGGAAACGGATCACGTGCGCAAGCACGATGGATTCATTCATTGTGCCGGCCCAGATGCTGTGGTGCTCGTCGCTCAGCGCCAGCTGCGGCTCGGCAACAGCTGCTCAGCCGTCGGACACGTGATGACGTCATATGGGGTGGTGTTGGCCCGGTCACGCCGGCACGTGACGACGTAACGGGCGATGTCAGCCCGGTCACGCGGGCACATGATGACGTCACAGGCGTGATAGGGCGGCAGCTGTGTTGTGCAGTCTGTTTGGTTGTTTGATGTCGATATTTCAGCACAAGGCGACGCAGTTCCTTAACAACGCCAGCGCCGCGCCTTGGCTGGCGCATGGGAATCAATGCTATTTGAGCTCATTCAGTTGTCGTGTTCCTCTTGGGCGCAAGGAGTTTTGCACGCCGGTCATGCTGTAAGTTCTTTCAACCACGAAAACATCGCCCCGCGCCATCGATACATGTGTAAGTGTGATCCAACAGTCACACCCAGATAGCCGTAAACGACTAAGCTGATTCATCAACCAAAGAAGGTGTCGCCAACCCTCGTTTGGCCTGGAAAGAAATGCGAGCATGATATCTCTGGGACGTATTCTATTTTTTTTTGAAACACGATGATATTAAGTGTGAGATGAATTGGTACCGATATTGCCGGAGACAAAACAAACTCTATACCGAACGATGGCAATACGTGTCGGATGAATTGGTGCCGATATTGCCGGAGACAACACAAGCTTTACACCGAACGAAGATCCGCGAATGGAAATGATCATATTAAAAAACGAACTGACGAAGTACACCCGTGTTGGTAGCGTATAAGCCACACCTACGAGGCACATTCATGCCTACTCACAGAGGAAGTCCAACCACTTTGCCGCAGATGCGGAGCACCATTGTCCACGGCTGACGCACTAAAGTGTCGACACTTTTGAGATTGATCGACTTTTGAAGATCGAGCGTAGCCATGATCTCCAGCTGAATCACATTCCCCGGCCTGTCTGATTGGTGATCCGCCGTCGGTCGATCTTCGAGCGGATTTTACCTTTTTCAGAGACATGGGCTTCAAACTTGAATTGATATTCATAACCTAGATAACTGGATAACAGTGCGTCACATGGCCTGCATGTGATTTGTGTTTTTCTACACCGAGCGGTTCCGGCACATAGCTGACGGCTGTTCTGAGCCGGTGGGACATCGATGACAATCAACCGACGCGGTTCTGCTCACAGTTCTGTTCACATGGTTTCTGAAAAGCAACACATGGGCGTAAACCCCAAGGCAGCTGACGCGGCCCTAAAATTCAATAACTAACGTCCACCGATGAACCAGCCAGGACGGAAATACCTGTGTACCAGAACAAAACATGTTCGTAAATCCCAAGGCAGCTGACGCGGCCTTAAAATCCCAAGGCAGCTGACGCGGCCCTAAAATTCAGTAACTTATGTCCACCGATGAACCAGCCAGGACGGAAATACCTGTGTACCAAAACAACACATGGGCGTAAATCCCGAGGCAGCTGACGCGGCCCTAAAATCCCAACGCAGCTGACGCGGCCCTAAAATTCAATAACTAATGTCCACCGATGGACCAGCCAGGACGGAAGAACCGTAAGCGTATGCAATTGGTGGAAAGGGTTGACTTCTATCACCGACGAGGTGGATACGAGAGCAGCCACGGGATACCTCGTATGACGTGCCGTGGTACAACCGCGCTGATGTCATCAATCTTGATGTTGCGCTGTCAGTGAGTGTAAACAAAATGCCGACACACTCTGCCAGCTGCTATGATCATCCAATTCAGTGGCGTGATATACCCGTCGGTCCCGAGCGATTGCCACTCGCCGACAAACAGCCAATCAATTCGCCCCGGATCCCGGTGTTCGTCGGAGCGTTGCCGGGCATCACGCGCTGGCCAGCCGGCCGTCACAGATAAAAAACATCGGCGGAGGGACGGCCGCAGAACGCCGGCTGTGGCACAGAAACATCGGCGGAAGAACGGCCGCAGAACGCCGTCTGTGGCACAGAAACATCGGCGGAAGAACGGCCGCAGAACGCCGGCTGTGGCACAGAAACATCGGCGGAAGAACGGCCGCAGAACGCCGTCTGCGGCACAGAAACATCGGCGCAAGGGCGGCCGCAGAACGCCGGCTGTGGCACGGCACAGCGCGCAGACGCAGGATCGCGGCGGGTGGGGATGGGTAGCCGTGGCTGTTCGCCTGATTGGTCGACATATTGGGCGACAGACGGCCTAACCACGCGGCCTGCCATTGGTCGCACGGCCCGGCGACTGCCGATCGGCGGCGGCAGGCTGCGTCAGACGACGGCCCCACCGCGGCGAGAGACCCGGTAATCAGGACGCACCAGCTGCTGCCAGATCCGCCGGGAGCAGCCGGCAGAATGCTGCCATATTTTACCGGGAGTGCCGTGAACACCGGGAGCAAGCCAGCAGAGTACTGCACCACAGCGCTATTACAAAATTTCAGTCTGCCAAGAAAACTATATTTTTCGATAACAAGAAGGCGTTTATGAGTCGTAAACAAGTCGCTTTTAATGGCACTGAGTGTCGAACACCAGATCTGTATTGCCGTATTCGTTGCATTTGTTTTTGTAATGCCATGGTGCACGTGTTTCTCTTTTCCGCTGGCCCCACTTTAAGGCTAAAATTCGGAGCATTACTACAGCGAAAGAGAATGCTGTTGTCGAAAATTAGCCCTACACATCAGGAAATACGCTACAGCTTTCCAAATGATTTACATCAATTTTTTGGTAGGCCCAGTCGCTTGAAGAGTCCAGTGCGTCACAGCAATGCATCATCAGGACATGACGGGCCGGAGTACTGCACGGTGAGACACATCGGGCTTGATTACTGAACCATCGACGGGCTAGACTGCCTGGAGTACGGCGACATCAGTATACAGCTGCTCAGAAGGCAGTACAGTCAGGAGTCAGCACACTGGCAGACCGTCAGAGCACATCTGGTCCCAGGGCAGCAGTACAGTCAGGAGTCAACACACTGGCGAACCGTCAGAGCACATCTGGTCCCAGGGCAGCAGTACAGTCAGGAGTCAACACACTGGCGGACCGTCAGAGTGCATCTGGTCCCAGGGCAGCAGTACAGTCAGGAGTCAACACACCAGCGGGCCATCAGAGTGCATCTTGTCCGAGCGTAGCAGTACAGTCAGGAGTCAACACACTGACAGACCGTCAGAGTGCATCTGGTCCCAGGGCAGCAGTACAGTCAGGAGTCAACACACTGACAGACCGTCAGAGTGCGTCTGGTCCGGTGCGGTGACGTTGGCTACAAGCTGCAACAAAACGAACTGAGCCCTGCCTGTGGGCCACGGGTCACATATGGTAGCCACGATCCGTGCTCATCAGCCCCCTCCCCTTCCTTCCATGTTTTGTCCGTTACTCCGGGCCGTACTGCAGATGTTCTGAAACGATTCCCATCAGCCCCTCATCATCTAAAGCCGCACCGCACCGTGTCTGCACGCTCGCTGGTGCTGTGCCTGGCCTCTCGGGCCGCGTCGAGGCCGTGTTCATTAGCAGCCGTCCTGGGACCCTGTTCGCCGACTCCCCTCGCCACGTCCGCCGGCGGGGCGTGCAACAGGCGGCGCCGGCACCGGCCACGAGCGCCGATCAATGCGGCCGTGCCCGCCGCCCGGGCGGCCCGGCCCGGTCCGGTCCGCACACGGCCCGCGCGCGGCGCGCGGCTGCCGGTCCCGCCCGGGCGGCCGGTCCGACCGGGCGGCCCGGTCCGGTCCGCGCACGGCCCGCACGCGGCCCGCGGCTGCTGGTCCCGCCTGGGCGGCCCAGTCTGGTCAGGGCGGCCTGGCCCAGTCTGGCCAGAGCGGCCCGGCCCGGTCCGGTCCGCACACGGCCCGCGCGCGGCTCGCGGGCCGCCGATCCTGAACAGGAGAGGACAGTGGAGAGAGAGAGAGAGAGAGAGAGAGAGAGAGAGAGCGAGAGAGAGAGAGAGAGAGAGAGAGAGAGAGAGAGAGAGAGAGAGAGAGAGAGAGAGAGAGAGAGAGAGAGAGAGAGAGGAGAGAGAGAGAGAGAGAGAGAGAGAGAGAGAGAGAGAGAGAGAGAGAGAGAGAGAGAGGAGAGAGAGAGAGAGAGAGGAGAGAGAGAGAGAGAGAGAGAGAGAGAGAGAGAGAGAGAGAGAGAGAGAGAGAGAGAGAGAGAGAGAGAGAGAGAGAGAGAGAGAGAGAGAGAGAGGAGAGAGAGAGAGAGAGAGAGAGAGAGAGAGAGAGAGAGAGAAGAGAGAGAGAGAGAGAGAGAGAGAGAGAGAGAGAGAGGAGAGAGAGAGAGAGAGAGAGAGAGAGAGAGAGAGAGAGAGAGAGAGAGAGAGAGAGAGAGAGAGAGAGAGAGAGAGAGAGAGAGAGAGAGAGAGAGAGAGAGAGAGAGAGAGAGAGAGAGAGAGAGAGAGAGAGAGAGAGAGAGAGAGAGAGAGAGAGAGAGAGAGAGAGAGAGAGAGAGAGAGAGAGAGAGAGAGAGAGAGAGAGAGAGAGAGAGAGAGAGAGAGAGGAGAGAGAGAGGAGAGAGAGAGAGAGAGAGAGAGAGAGAGAGAGAGAGAGAGAGAGAGAGAGAGAGAGAGAGAGAGAGAGAGAGAGAGAGAGAGAGAGAGAGAGAGAGAGAGAGAGAGAGAGAGAGAGAGAGAGAGAGAGAGAGAGAGAGAGAGAGAGAGAGAGAGAGAGAGAGAGAGAGAGAGAGAGAGAGAGAGAGAGAGAGAGAGAGAGAGAGAGAGAGAGAGAGAGAGAGAGAGAGAGAGAGAGAGAGAGAGAGAGAGAGAGAGAGAGAGAGAGAGAGAGAGAGAGAGAGAGAGAGAGGAGAGAGAGAGAGAGAGAGAGGAGAGAGAGAGAGAGAGAGAGAGAGAGGAGAGAGAGAGAGAGAGAGAGAGAGAGAGAGAGAGAGAGAGAGAGAGAGAGAGAGAGAGAGAGAGAGAGAGAGAGAGAGAGAGAGAGAGAGAGAGAGAGAGAGAGAGAGAGAGAGAGAGAGAGAGAGAGAGAGAGAGAGAGAGAGAGAGAGAGAGAGAGAGAGAGAGAGAGAGAGAGAGAGAGGAGAGAGAGAGGAGAGAGAAGAGAGAGAGAGAGAGAGAGAGAGAGAGAGAGAGAGAGAGAGAGAGAGAGAGAGAGAGAGAGAGAGAGAGAGAGAGAGGGACGAAAGCCGGCGCATGGTGTGTGAATAAGGGTTTGAAGCTCTCCGACGTCACAAGAGCGCAAAACTGTGCAAACGAGACTGCGAACTGCAACACAACAAAGCCACGGGAACGAGAGCATAACAACATCGAGTAATCAAGACTTTAACGCCTCGGGAGTACAGCAACAGCAAACGATGATTTAGTGGACGCCGTCAGTCTGGTGCTTGGTTAATGTTTAACAACTGTTTACGCGGTGCTGCTCGTTTTCCCACTTGCTTCAGTCGTCTGATAATTTGTTGAACTTCTGTTTGGCACTCTAATGACCTAGCGTTTCGCTGACCCACATTAGGCTGGGCAGTCCATCGGCCCGGCGCTTGTACACGGCCTGATGAGCTGGATGTCTGAGATAATCTCGCGGTTCAGTACTGTGACAAATTACAACCCTGAGGTATTAGGTTGCAGGAAAACTTGACTCGTCCCTGTACGTAGCCCAACTCGTCATCCAGCTTGAAGCGACCCGAGGATTGGGTAAGCAAATACTTGCTCGAAGAGACCGACGATGCTACTCTGCCGGAGATGCTACTTTACTTCATTTAGAAAATGCTGCTTTACTTTGCTTACTTGCGAGTCAACTGCCACCTCTCCTCTACATCATCCAGACGAACAGCCACCCTTTATAACAAACCGAGGTGTTTTCCTTTTGACTCTGTAGGCTTGACATCCGGAATCCGCTCAGCAAGCCTGCGAAAAAACATCGCGTGCCCCCGCCGGCGTTTACTGCGGCGTTTCTCAGGGCGGCGTTCGGCCGCGTTTCTGGCCAGAGGTTGCGGCGGACCAATTCCGTGTAATGCCGGCCTCATTCCCCGGAGAGAGAGGCTTGGGCCGGTCAGCGCGGCGCCAGAAAAAGCGTGATTACAGTACGCGTCACAGCCGCGTGTCGCGGGAGCCGGCCTGCGACCCGTCGGGTGGCCGCCGGCTGGCGCGTGTAGCCACGCGCGTCCTGAGTAATTGCTTTCGGGGTAAAAACCATGAAGACGTCTCTTGCGTAACAACGCGGATAAAACCTGCAGCGAATCCCAGCAGCTGGCAGTGTCATCAATCAACTACAACAACTTTTGGACAGTTCCCATCAGCTTTCGCATCCGTCGGCTCACAGCGCACCCAAAGAGGGCCGAGCGCCGTCCTTTTCGCCGCGGAGCTGGTGTTGTCTGTATTTTTGCT